GAGAGAGCAGGCAAGGGTTGGGGTTTGCTCAGGGGGGCTGGGGGAGCAGGCAGGGAATGGGGCCTGGCAGGGGTCCCCCCATGGTCCCCTTCCCCCTCCTCCAGCCTCCCCTATCTCGCCCCCTAATTACCAGCATGCAGTCTGGGTCCAGCTCCCTGCTGCAGCTGGTGGGCACTGCCCAAATCACCGAAGCTCTACGAATCTTTTCCAAATCAATTCAGAGAGTTTCAAATCAATTCAGACCTTTTAATTGGTACCCTGATTTGATTTGGATTTGGAGATTTGGCCACCAAATCGGGCCAAATCTCTTCTGAATAGAATCAGCACCCGAAGCTTCGCACAGCTCTAATGTCTGGCCACAGCCTCCAAAGCCCTTGAATAAGATCAGTAAATAATGTATGTTTACTGAACATTATTTGTAGACTAAAGAGTAGATTCCATGGAAAATACACACTATATTTACAGTTGCCAGTGCAATTTCAGAGCATACGAGTATCCACAGTAGTGAGTGACAGTAGACTCTTCAGAAGTGATGAGTAAGTGATGTTATATTTACTTTATTTGCTTATGATATTTCTGTGATTTCCACCTCTCTTGGACCACAGTGGGCCCTCAATCTCACTACCTGTGCTCTTAGCTCATGGGATGATTTAATATTTTACAAAATAAGTTCTATTAAGAAATATGCTGAACCAGACCTGTTACTATAATGCAGGGATTAGCAATTTATAGCTCACAGGTCAGATCTAGCCCATGAAGCCACTAGATCTGACCTACAAAACTGGGGGGGATTTGGTGGTGTTCAATGGATGGGGGGCTTTTTCTATACCAGGCTGTGGCTGACCAGCAGGGAGCTTCACCAGTGCCACACTGTGGCTGGGAGGCAGGTAGAAACATTGGTGGTGGCAGTAGCCGGGTCCTATCGCCGGCCAACCTTGAACCCAATCTGGGTCATTTCAGCTTACTGCTGGAAAATGTTGCTGATTCTGCTTTAATGAAATAATCACCATCAAAAAAGTCAAACACATAATTTTTTTTTACCATTTTTGTTCCCAGAGGACCAAGTCCTTGTTTCAGTAAAGGCAACAGGAATTTTAGATCAGGATTTGGTCCATATTAAATATTCAAAATTGTTCCTTAAAGAACCTACTGAAACACCAATGAAATTTACCTGGAGAGTTCTGAGGTGAGGACACTGGGGAGCCTCTTGGGGACTGGCAATAACTGGGATGAAGTAAGGCATGTGGCGGCACATATGACATTATCTCTTCTTCAAACAAACTGGTAAAAAGAAACAAGAGAAGATAGACAGTGTTTATTTGACCTAAGACTCTATTCTGCTTACTAGCAACAGACATCTGACAAAGTCCTCCAAATCCAATCTGGAGCCTAGTGATGAGGGTTCCAGTCCGCTGCCAGGGTTAGGTCTATATTTTACATTAGACAGTCATCGATTAAAAAACAGAAATAACCCTAGCAGCGAGGACCAGAAGCTAGGACTTTCTTCCTCCATGGGAGTGCTCACACCATTGGGCTACCAACTCATGCTGCCTCTTGTTTCTTTTCCTTCTGGTTCTGTAAATCTAAATAAAATATATAGGAACATTACACTGCTTTCCTAACTTACCCCACCTTTCCTTTTACATCACTATTTACATCACTGTCATTCTTACAGATAACTTGACAAATAACTCACCAGTTTGGTGACTGTTCTGCTGCACACTTCAAAAACATAGAAATCTATAATGCATCTCCTTAGCACAAATGATTTCTATTAGGATTTTTCTACAAAGCAGGTTCATCCCAAACCAAAGCCTTTTTTGGTTACAGTGACTGCCTGTTAGTTTAGTTTATATGATTTTAGAAGGCAGGTTAAAATAAAATAAAACCTGAAAAATCAAATGAAAGCTGTTTTAGGGGATTTTGTGCTATTTGTCTCCTTTACAAATTCGTTGCATTAATTATTGGATTTTCACAGAAGAGAGATACCAATTACAAAAAATCATATTACTTTATTTCCATTACAATAATTGTTTCCGAATAATAGAAAAGACATTCATAGCAATGGCAATAATTAGCACTATCTTTATTAAAATAAAAATACAGTGAAACTAGTTTTATAGGTTATAAAATGATGTACTTTTCATGTTTGGTGTACTAATAATAACTTTCTATGTGTTTTCATTTAATTCTCTTCATTCTGATTTTAAATAGTGTCAACACAGCCTTAGAAGGAGATATTAAGATTTTTAATGTTTTACCTATGGACAATTAAGATTTTCCCAGAAGAGCACAGTACAATTTTTTTCAAATATACTATGAATGCGACTACAATGTGGAGGACATAATGAAGACTGAGGTCTTAACTGCCTACTTTTCTAGATTAATAATCAAATGGGCCTTACTAAAGTGTAACTCCCCATTCCTTAAGAGCTGTAACCAAATTTCCCATGAATAAAAAGAGCAAAATCAGCCTGCACAGCTCAGAGGTTACAAGCTCAATGTTCAACTCGGTTATTAAAATTATATGTCAAGCACTAGCATTCAATAACATGGACCCTCACAAATCAGCGCTAAACAGAAAACCCCCTTGAACAGTGAAGGATTAAGAGCAAATGCTTTACTTGTGTGAAAGTCTGAAACACACTAATCTATACTTAGACCTTTTAAGAATGGCGATAAATGGAAAATTTTTAAAGGGTACAGGACAAGCCCATTTACTTTTTTTCTTGCATTGAATTCTTATATCAGACTGTATAGCAGCGGGTTTACATTTTTCTTGCAGTACTGTTTTCCTCAGATAATCACTTTTTCCCCCCATTCTGACAAATGTGACCTTCATGCCAATAACTAACATCCAGAAACTCAACACTACGTAAAGCCAGTGTTAATATTCTGCTGCAGCTCCCCCAGCTGCAACTCGAAGAACTGGAAACACATTAAGGTAAGTAAATGGGTACACACAATACATCAAAAGGCACTTCACAGCACATTCCACACATTTGTAAGGAAACAATGCTACCTACCTCAGTAACATGACAAGGTCTGCATCACTGGATAGACGCACCAGCCCTGGGGTTCCCTCTGTTCGAATAAACTGAATCTTCTCCCTGTTTAAGCAAAAAAAGGGTTCCAAAATGTCTTTTGCAAACAAGACACCAATGTATACCAAAGCAACAAGAAAAAGTGCTGGATATATCAAGAAAATCTCTGGGTTATGCCTCTGTATTTCAGACACCATTATTTTTGCTGCCACACCATGTCCATGTGAGCAATAGAATCCTACAACCAAAAAATCCTAATTTGTTCTCAAGCATGTTTCGCCTGTTGCCTCATCTCTCAGAAGCTCAGGCTGCTTCAAGTAACACAGCCATCCAACCAATACAAAAAATCAATCTTTCAAGTTAATGCTAGTTGCGGCCCTGAATTCAAAGCAGGAGGCTGAGCCCTGCGGGAGAACATTGCTATTCTGAAAATGAAGTGTTTAAAGAGGTACTCTCCTTTTCCCCTCTTACTATAAATTCAAGCTCTACATTACAAGATCATTTGTGTTTTTAAAGCAGATTTTACACATAACACTGTCCTAAGGATTCTTCAAAAACACCTTGTTCTCTCTCTCTCTCACACCCTGTGCCCAAATCTAAGTGGGTCACTATTTCAAATTCTATGCCTATTAAATGCTGCGCAATGCTGTTGTTTATTAGGCTGAATATTCATTAGAATCTCTCACATGTGCCTTTGGAACTCTGACACAGGACAATGCTTGTGGTTTTGCATTTCTTTTTCTCCCTCTTTTTCTTCCTTTTGAAGCCTCAATTGCTTTCAACACTAATGAGCCTAGGTGTCTTCCATGTATTATAATACTATTCCAATGTGAAATGTCTCTTAATTTGGTTTTACTATTAGCAAAGAAAAAAGAAACCTGGGTTGCAAAGGCTGTCTAATGCTAATGAAAAATAAATTCAACCAAACGGTCACAGAAAAGAACCCACCTTAACAAGTGCTTATGAGAATAGTGTTTACTACTACAGTACATTCTACAACAGTGGTGTCCGATTCATCCGGTCCCACGAGACATATTTTGGCTGCAGTTAGATGGCTATACTGTTTATATGACAACAGCTTGCTAGCAGCAGCACAAACTTCACCCTGTCTCGGCCCTGAATTAGAAGGATCATCTCTGGAGCGAGAAGGGAGCTCACTAGGGCTGTGCAAAGCTTTGGTCCCCAATTCGATTCAGCGGAGATTTGGCCCGATTTGGTGGCCAAATATCCAAATCCAAATCAAATAAGAGGACACTTTAATCTCTCTGAATCAAATTGGAACCCTCCAAATCAATTCAGAGAGATTTGGAAAGATTGAGACACAGAGAGAGCTTTAAGTGTTTTTTCTAAAGAGGCTCGTGAGTGCTGCGATGCTGGGGTGGATGGAGTGTCCCACAGGAGCACGGGGGGGCTCCCCAGTGCTCTCAGCAGCAGACATGGAAGTGGACCAGAAGCACTTCTGGTCCACTTCTAGGTCTGCCAGGGAGTGTACCGGGGGGCTCCCCCATGCTTCCCCCAGCACAGTGACTGGTGCCTCCTGGGTCGGGGGAGGGGCACGCAGGGTCCCCCTACAGCCAATTGCTGAGCCAGGAAGGTGTGGTGGGGAGAGGGCCCAGCACGCTCCCCGGCAGGCCCAGAAGTGGACCCGAAGTACTTCCGGTCCACTTCCAGGTTCACTGCCGAGCACGTGGAGGGCTCCCGTCCCGCACTCCCTGCACCGCAGCGATCACAAGCCGTGCCTGCTACCTCAAGGTATATAGAAAAAACTTTTAAAGCTGTGCCTATGTCCGAATCACTGATTCTCTGAATCAGCGTCAAATCTTCAGATTCAGAGTCGGCCGAATCGAATCAAGGACAGTGATCCGAACTGACAAATTGAATCACTGTCCTTAATTTGGGCCGAATCCGAATCCAATAGGGCACGCTTCACACACCTCTAGAGCTCACCCTTTACATTCATGCAGACAGCCCATGTCTTCACTTTTGTTCCTAACATGAGCTCCAGTTTTGATGAGGTTGTTTTTTTTTATACAGGCCTTTTACTACCTGTTAAGGTACAATTCATGTTTAATTTATATAGGTACCGGTGTCTGAAGTCCTCCTCACTATTTAACAGCCTCTTGGGTTCAACTGTATGGTTTTTAAAGAGATTTGATCCTGGGCTTGCAGTTTTATGATTAACAGCAGGTTAAGCACAATGTTCTTGTTCCATCATAAAAATCCCTGAATGATAATTTTGTATATGTGTTGCCCTTATCTTGTGTATTTTTACTCATCCTCCACTCCCCATCTGCTTTCTCCTTATTTATTTAAAAAATTAAAATAGTTTAGGTAAAATGTAAGGGATTATTTTCAAATTAACTGTACTCTCTCATTTGTAAAACTGATTTTTCTACCCTATATTTTGAACATATTTATTATATTATTATTATTATTATTTCTATTGAGGCAGGGCCTAAAGACCCAAAACACACAAGATTACGTCCCTGTACCAATAATTGCATCAAGATATACCACAAAGCTATTCCATGCCCCAGAGATCTTACAATCTGGCATCCAGGCAGCAGGTAAATAAAAAACAGCTGCACAGTAGACACATTCTTTGCATAAGTTAGTGCAGGAATGTCCAACTGGTGACCTGCAGACTGCATGCAGCCCAAGAGGGCTTAATTTGTGGCCCTTCGGCTCCCACCCAACAGCAGCTGGAGTCTCCAGGCTCCCTCTTTATCCTCCATCTTCCACACACTGCCTCTGCCCCAGCAGGCCAGAGTGCTAAAGAAGCCTATGGCCCAGGGCACCCATGTGGCATGGTACAGCAGAGGAGCCTGGGGCTGGGAAGATGAAGGTGAAGCCATGGCATCCACATACACTTTGCACTAGGAGTCACCCATGCATGAGATGCAGCAGGGAAGTGTCCACATGCAATGCAATCCAGGGGGCCAGTTGGCTTGTGCTGATGCAGCCCAGGTGGCATGCAGCAATCAGTGGACTGGCTTCAGGGCGTGAGGCCCCCAATTGCTTAAAAGTTGGACAGTCCTGAGTTAGCAGCATACATAACATTAAATCACTTTAATGTACACACACGTTTGTATGCCTTAATATCTTACCAGGATGAAGCTAGGCAAAGTCTGTTACTTATCTGCAACAGAGTCAAGAGCCATGAGCCAAATTAAAAAATTTAGACTAGTGAAATCTGTTGCACTGTGGCGTGAGATACCACCACTGGCCACCCTTTGAGAGTGGATGAAATTAGTTTGCACCTGAAAGCTACTAATGAAATATGCTGATTCACTTCATCCCAGGCTTACACGGTCATACTGCCAATTTGGGGGTCTGCTCTGGCTTCCTGTGGGCCCCCAGAAAAGAGAAGGGATTGAGAAAGAGTCAACTTCCTCTATAAGTCTGTAGGTCACAACTACAAAATGAAGGGAGAAGAAAGAGAAGCATAGATGAACAAGAAATTTATGAGAGCAAGAAGAGAAGTGGGAAGAGCAGGTGGGGAAGTGGTGGAAAGAGGCATGAGCAAAAGGTCACATGATCAGAAGAGGGGAGGAAGAAAAGCAGGGGAAGATGGCATAAGAATATGGTGAGACAATGGGAAAGCAAGAAGGAAATTATAGAAATTCAGAGAAGGAGAAACAAGACGGGGTCACAGCAGTAGTAGGGAGAAGCTGATCAGATTAGGAATGAATAAAATAGAAAGGGTGAAATCCTGATTGTACCAATTTCAATGGGAGTTTTGCCTTCAGTGACATTTGCATTTTGCCTGACATGCATATAAAAACAAAACAGAGTAAAACGAAACAGCTGTTGTACCTTTGGTAAGCCACAAAAAATTCCTCCAGGAGCTGTCGCCCCTTCAGAAAATAATAGCAGAGACTGCCCAGTCATTAGTTAGCATAAAAATTAAAGACACAAGCACAAAAAAACAGACTTTATAGATAAAAAAAAAAAGTAATTCAAATCATGAGAGCTTTTGCCTCTGCTTCCCAAAGACCACTCTGTTCAGCCTCTCATCAAAAGCTCCAAAGATTTCATCAAAATCAAAGACCTCATGGAAAAACAAAATCACAAAATGCAGGTCAAGCTTAGCATATTCACTAAAGAAAGATTAGGAAATGCCTAATAAAGGCCAAAGAGGGTGTCTACCCAAGACCTTTACTGTGGAGATGCCTAATTAGCTCCACAGTAAACATCTCAGCATCTACATGTGTGGCCCTATTAGGCTGCAGGAAACTAATACACTCTGCAACAGATTAGTACTTGTAAATATAAGTACTATCTTACTGCAGAGTTTTTTCATGTACAGCAATGCATGCATAGACACGGACCCAGCTAGCTGGGGCATGAGGATGCTTCAGTGCGGGAGCTGCCTGCCAGCTAGCCCTGCACTGAAGCCATACTCCACATCATGTTGAGCTGGGTCTGAGCAGGACTGGCAGGTTGACCGCCCTAGACCCTCTGCCAGACAAAGCTGCTCTGACCCAGGTCAATGTGCTGCGGTCCTGGACGCATGTGTAAACACAGCACCCAAGAACAATAAACTCCAGTGTGATAGGTGCCAGAGTTTATTGCTGCACATTAATATGCATGTGTAGACATGCCCAAAGAAAATCCAGATAACCCGGAAAAGTGCCACTGTAAACAAAGAAGCTCAGAATGACCTCCATCATGTATGTTGTACAACTGTAAGTAACTTATAATGTCAAGGCAACTCCAGCTCCAGGCAACTGAATGCAAATAATAATGTTAGGTTTATTTATATGCTACCTGGCAATAGGAACACTTCCAAAAAGGTGATCCATGATCTAGTTTACTTATTTTTAAATTACAATAGTAATTTCAATTTTAAAATGCACTTCTGATAATAGAACAGGCAAATACTGTCATAGGAAAACTGTACACTGGTTAAACATGTGAAAATAATTTACCTGAAAAGGCCTTAATTCAGCCAGTTATTTAAGCATGTGCCTAACTTTAACCATCTTCAGTGGATCTTCTCAGTGTTACATGTACCAAATTAGGCACATACTCAAATATCTTGCTGATTCAGTGATTTAAAGAATCGATTAAGAAAGGGGAAGTAGAACCTTTATAAAGAAAAAAGGAATGATGTGATAGAAGTGTAAGTCCTAGATGTTGCATGGTACATAATTTTTGAAGAATGTGGTAATAGGTGATAGGCATGAAATCAAGTATTCCTTAACACAGTATATCAACTCCAAATAGTAAAGCAAGAGCAGAGATCTGGCTGGACTTCTCCAACTAACCCCAGAGTAAAACCTCAGAATCTTCAGTTCAACACAATTCTTACTCATTAAGCTAAGACAAGTTAGAAAGAAAGACATATATGTCTTCAATCTACTTACAATGAGGATATCAACCTCATACATTGAAAGTGATGTATTCTGTAACTTGTACGAAGTAACACCTTTTGTCCCTTGGTTTGTATTTTATATCTGTAAACTGCCTGATCTTGAAAAGTGAAAAGTTAGCGTGTAAGCCAGGAAGCAAGGTTTTACAAGAAGCAAAATCTGATAATGCCAATGGTCCTTTGAATAGCTTCCAATTTGCAAACTGAGAAAACCAGTGCAACAGTTAAGGATAAAACAGACTGTTGCTATTGGAGTAAAAGGAGATGAATGAAAATGGGAGACCCTTCCTGGAAATTCTTTTTATATTATCATCTGACAGGAATGGGTTTGCTCATGTTTCAAATGCAATTCCAATAGAACTAATTACCATATTTACCCAAATCTAAAACAACACTGAATTTAAGATGACTCTCCAATACTTGGATTATATACATAGAATATTATAATCTAATTATTGGATTACTGAGTGGATACCTTAATTTTCAGACATTGGAGTTTCATCATAAAACTTGTCAGGATATGAGGAGAACTGAGCCAGCACACACTGATCAAGACATGGGACTGACTGGGAAGTCACATCCACTGCTTACTGGCAATCTCTACTGCATAATATAAGAGATCAAAACCTGAATAACTGCTTCAGGGATCCTGGCTTTCTCCATTTAAAAATCACAAATTTAAAATCTGATTTAAAAAAACACCAAATCCACAATTAAAATGAAATGCCACTAATATATATATATATATCTATATCTATAGATATATATATATATATATTAGTGAAATGCCACTAATATATTAATATATTATATTATATATATCAGTTGAGCACAATATTTTATTGATATATTAAAATTTTAAAGCAATTTGGAAGCCTACCAGTGCCTCAATCACTATAACAAAATAAATTCTAAATACCTATAAATTCTGCTGTTTGATTTTGGATTTTTTATCATGAAAAAGCAGAGCTCTCCCTGCCCCCTTTACTCACCAGGACATGGGTCCACCTGCGGTTGCCTCCTGCCCCCACTAATTTCTGGCACTGAGCAGTCCTGACATACCGGTGCCCTGCCCATGCCACTGCCCCTCATTACTAACCTACAGCTCCCCAGCCCTGCTGTTGCCCCTCGCTCCTGACCCTCAGTCCCCTGGGCCCTGCTGGTGCATCTCACTCGCCACTCACAGCCCCCCACATGCTACAGAGGGCTGGGGGGAGGGCAGCAGGGCAGGGCTACAGAGGTCCTGGGGGGAGGGCAGCAGAGCAGGGAACCCAAGCCTGCAGGGGGGCAGCTCACACCCGCCCCGAGCATAAATTTGGGGAGCACATGCCCCTCAGGGCCCCCCCCAGGAGTGCATGCAGGAGCAGGTAGCCAGTCTCCCCTGGCCTCTGGATGAGCCACCCATGACTCTGTCCCACTTCCCGCCTGGGCCCTGTGGCTGCGCATTCTGGCTCCAGACCCCAAACCCCATGCACTGTCCAGGTTGGGCAGCAGCCCCAGCCCAACTCCCTCCCTCCCTCACTATGGCCCCAATTCCCCTCCCCACCATGTGCCAGACTTACGTGCAGGAGCTGCTCTCCAGGCTGCACCTATGTGCGTGTGTACATGCACACATGCACATAGAACCCCCTGCCTGACCGCCCTCCTCCCGCTGCCTCCAGCCCCTTGCTGTCTCAAACTCTGCCAGCCTGCAAGGGGAAACCCACCATTTCCCACGCTTTTCTCCTTTAAAGGAGAAAATCCAGGTTTTTCTCCTGAAAATGAGAAAATCCATGTTTTATTGCATTTTTCCACGGTGAACAGAAAACCCAGATCCCTGATGATCATACATGTGCAGTCAAAAGTTGACAATTTTCAATTGTACCATACCCAAAGAAGTTCTGGAAACACATATTTTAACATCAGTGTTTAATTTCCAGGATACCAGTTATTCGGTTTTATTGCTAAGTAATGTATACTTTTGTAATTAAATAAGTCCAAACTATAGATGAGACGCTCTCCTGTGCAGATGGTCAAAACAAAATACAAAAGGGCTTTCCTGTACTGAGTTCAAATCGTTTAACACCTTGCAGTACTAAGCTTTACATAATCTCCATATGTTTACATTAAGTATTTTAGTAATCCCAACAACAACACTATCCCTACTCATATTCTTAACTAGGGCCTGAATGGCTTTGTCTTGACCCTCTACAGAAGAGTGAATTTCTTTTAAACATCAGCTCTGTTGTACCTGTGCTACATAATACCGTAACTGCCACATAGGGATGTGTGAAATGGGACATATCTGATTCAGATTTGGCCCAAATCAGGGACAGTGATTCGATTCATTGATTCGGATCACTGTTCCCAATTTGGCCGAATCTGAGTCTGAAGATTCAATGCTGATTCAGAGAATCAGTGATCCGGCCATAGACACAGCTTTAAATGTTTTTTCTACATACCTCGAGGTACCAGGTGTGGTTCATGAATGCTGTGATCCTGGGGCAGATGGAGCATCCCACAGGAGCATGGGGAGCCCCCCCACATGCTTGACGACGAACCCGGAAGTGGACCAGTAGTACTTCTGGTCCGCTTCTGGGCCTGCCAGGGAGCGCATGGGGCCCTGCGCCCCCCAGCTAGGCAATCAGGCACGGTGGGATCTTGGATGCCTCCCCAGACCCAGGAAGCACCAGTCACCAAGCTCAGGAGGTACAGGGGAGCCCCCCTGTGCACTCCCTGGCGGACCCGGAAGTGGAACGAAAGTGCTTCTGGTCCACTTCCGAGTCTGCTACCAAATGCACTGGGGAGCCCCCTGCACTCCTGTGGGATGTTCCATCTGTCCCAGCATTTCAGCATTCACAAACCACCTGGTACCTTGAGGTATGTAGAAAAAACATTTAAAGCTGTGTCTATGGCCGAATTGTCAAATCTTTCTACATCTCTCAATTCAGAGGGTTCCAATTCAATTTGGAGAGATTAAAGGGTCTCCTGATTTGATTCAGATTTGGAGATTTGGCCACCGAATCACGCCGAATCTCTGCCAAATCAAATCAGGGACCGAAGCTTCACACAGCCCTAATAATTACAAGATACCTTTCATGGCAAACTGTAGGGGATGTTTCATGGGACTGTGCAAGAATTGTATTGGTCTGTTTTGAATCACCAGTGCAACAGTAAAAATGCTGACAGACAGTGCTGGTTAAGTTCATCTCGAAAAGCTGAAAACCCAGCTTTTCAGAAAACTTGACATTTTGCCCAGCAAGATGTCCAGAGTGCAAATATCCCTCACAGTATTTGTGCCTGCATTACATTCCTGGATGCACAAATACTCAATACCACCCATGGCCACTTCTTTCCTGCACATCACCCTCTTTCACTCACTTGTAATGCTCCCCTAGCATTGTAGATCTAACTTTGTTTTTTAGAGACACTCTCTTCTTGTACTTCTTGTAATGGAATGACAGATGAGTATCTAACTCTCCTCCAGTTCCTTGATTCTTCCTTCAGGACTCACCTACCTTTATATTACAGATTTTTTTTTTTTACCCACTTTTAAAGTTATTTTTCTCCTCTTCTCTGCTTCATATTTAACAATGTATTGATTTATTGTTTTGCATATATTGTGGGCCCCTTCCCTGGTTACTCCCCCTTTTCACAACTTCTCCTGCATATGAGAATGCTACACAGTGCTGGGATGGAAGAGGTGATTGGCAGTGATGGGAGAGCAGACCACATATATTAACATGGCTGACATGAGTGCCAAGAGATGGCAAGATCAGCTTGTCAAGCTGTTGTTTTAGAGAATGGAGGGGAGCTAGATTACAATACAGAATCGTCACTGCACTTCGACTGTCTGTAGTGAAGGTATGGAGGAGGATGAGGAAGGTAAGATCAAGGGTCACACAATTTTACTTATTTCCACTATTCCTTTCATTCCCCCAGCATCCTACCTTGGATTATTCTACTATTTCTCAAGAGAAGAAAAACATACTTTTTGTGGATAGCTGATTAGCCCAGCAGAGAACCAAATAAAAAAATAATTCAGAAGAGATCATCTTTATGGCTTTGACAAGTTGGATGCCTGTGCGGAAGCTCACGTTAGAGTAGAACTATATCACTGTCAAGGCTTGAAGCCAGTATGCAAAAGAATATATTAAAGAAACACTACAACTTTATGAATAAACACATTTCTGACAGACTGAAATTACACTAGGGTGAGCCCCAAGTTTGAATGAACTTGAGCAGCAGTCATCCAGACAATAAGTGAACTTTGGCAAAAGAAAATACTAAATGATATATTGTATTGAAATGGGGCTAATAGAATCAGAATAATTATTACCTGAGTGAATGATTCCTGGTGAGATCTGGCTGACGCTCCTGTAGAATTTCAAAGATATTGGGCTGTCGCAGGAATG